CCGACTGGCACAAGCCCACCCACCCACAGAGCCTGCCCAGAGGCGTGCAGGCTGGCCCAGGCGTGCAGGCCTGGCCCAGGGTCAGGATGCTAGGGTGCCAGCTACACTGGGAGGGGTCCCGACCCCTGCAAGGGCCAAATGGAGGGTGGTGGTCCTCCCCTCCCCAGGACCTTCTCCTCTACCCTTCACCCCAGGTGTCCCTCTCATCACCTCCTACCCTCAGCCTCCCTTTTTTTGCTCATCCCCACACAAATCCCTTTCCCTCTCCGCTCTTCCCCCCACTCCAAGTTTGGAATGAAATCATGGGGCTCTGAGTTCTGCACGAGGCCCCGACATAAACACTCTGATTGGGGCTAATTATAAGGGCCAGGTTGGGAGGCTGGAACCTTCAGAAAGCTTGGCTTTCAAACAAAGGGCCCAGGGCTCAGCCCCCAGCCCAGGCCGGCTCCTCTCCAGACTGCATGAGGAATAAGGAGGGGTCCGGGGCTACAGGCAGTCCTCTGTAAACCCAACCAATGGTCTATGAGCTTGTTCCATGTCCCAGGTCCTATCTTGTCCTTTCTCGGCTGCTTTCACCTTGGCCCTTCCAGGCCTCAAATCCCAGGGCCTTCCCAGCTGGCTGGGAAGAGCCGCAAGCCTGCAGTGGAAGGAAAGGTAGCTGGGGAGGCGCTCTCAGGCTATGAGACTGGGGATGGGGCAGAGCAGGGGGAGGGAGAGGCGCAGGGGCAGGGAGAGGCACAGGGGAAGCCAGCTGTGACAGCCCTAGCCCTAATTAGCCAGCTTCAAAGCCGGCCAGCGAGAGAGCCCGCCTGCCTGTGTGCCCTGCTCACTCAGGCGGGTAAGACATTTCTGTCCTAATCAGAGGAGAGAAAGGGAGAAAAACACTGCCCACCACCACCCCGGGGATCCTCTAGATTGTGAGCTGGTACCCCGAGTCAGGGAGAAAAAGTAGGAGCACAGGAAATCATTCTGCTTTGTTAAAACTACCGGTAACGGTAAGTCCAAAAGTCCTCAAGAAATGTACATTCTTTGATCCAGTGATTCTATTTTTAGGAATTTATCCTGAGTAATTGGAAGAGTGCTACAATTTATTGAGCTTCTACTGTGTGTTGGTTCTGTACATGCATCATCTGATCTAATCTTCACAACAACCTTGCAGACAGGTACTATCACCTTTTACAGGTGAGGACTGAGGCTCAGAGGTTAGATGTCCCCAAAGACTCACAGCTGCACTGTCATGCCAATGCCTGTAACTCCCCACACACGGTCTGTCTCTTTCTTCTTTTTTCCCTCGACTATGAAAGTATTAACATTCATTCCACTCTGCTGCATCTTGATACCTGCAAGAGAGACAGGATCTAGTGAATAACCTAGTCTGAGGGTGTTCCTGGTTTTGTAGATCCGATGGTTTTCCCTCCTGACCCTCCTTTCCACAGCAGAGGGAATTACAGGCTGGGGGATACTGGAGTCTGAGAAGGTAAAGGTTGCCCCATGGAGAAGTAGAGCTACCCAGTGATGAAGACTAGATAATGTCTAAACCAGGGACTGAAAAACCAGCTCGGGGATGGTGTGGGGGAGGGGTGTGCAGCTAGACAGTGCATAACCCCCCTAAAGTTACATACAAAATTGTGTTCTGGGGTCTGGCCAATTTTTCCCAGGAGGGTGTCCAAAGATATTTCAGGTTCTCAGAGGAGTCAGTGGCCCCAGAAGTTTAAGATGCATTTTGAGGTGAGGAGACTATGTCTGAAGAAGGAAGGGACTCTACTACAGTGAGCAGTGGGATTATCAAAGGGATGATGCCTCAGAAATGGCAGAAGCTTGGGCTCTGCTCCCCCAGACATGTGCCCCACGGCACCCTGGGACAGCATCTCCCCACTTCCAGAATCTAGCCCAGATCAGGAATCCCAACACCCTCTTGGAGAGCTTTCTGGAAAGATCTGGAAGTCCAGGTCCCACTGATCCTCACTCTTTGGGGATGTCCAGAAGAATTTTGTCTTAGAAAACCTTAGTGTTCTTTTCTGGGGCACTTCAAAGGACAGACAGTTTGTCAGCATCTGACAGTGGAAGCATCTTCGGGAGGGGCATCTGGGGTGGGGGAGGAAAAGCAAATGTCTGATCCATGAGGCAGGGGAGTCTGGAGGAGAGATGCCCTGCTCCTAGAGACCAAGCACTGCTGCTCCTTTGTGGGAGGGGGTATGATTGGGAGGGCAGGTAGAAAGCAGCTGTGGCCTAACACCTGCCCCAGGCCTGGAGGCCTCAGCAGAAGGGCTTTCTTACTGGGCCCTTGACCCTTCACCAGACAAAGCCTCCGAAGACGGAGGGACCAACCCACTTACAAGGGGTAAACCGTGTCCTATCTAAAGGGCGACCTAGAAATCTGTGAAAGTACACCTCCAAGCCCCTGTGTTTAACTGGGTTTTCCCAACAAGGGAGCAGAGACAGACCCCTCTCCAGGGGTGGCAGTGAGCTCAAGTGTTTCACTTATGGGTCTCCGCTCCAGGGCACTTTGTCCCCTAAATCCTCCACACCCTCCGTCTAAGAGTTGCATCATTAGAGCAATGAGAGCAGCCAGAGAGAAAGTTCCCCATACTTTCTGTAAGGTAATTCAGCCCTTTAGAGAAGGGAAGGGCATCTAGAAGATGTATCCTTTCCTAGAGAGGCAATTATCTTATTGTCTGTCCTCTCTCCAGCCACAGAACCTATTTTTTCAGTGTTCTCAGGCCCTTTTCCCCTCCATTGGCGACTTTGAGGGAGGAGGGTTGAGAAGGATCTTTACCAAAATTCCCTCCCTCCCACCCCACTCTGGGAAGAAAAAGGTATTGTTGCTAGTCTCTACCATCTCCTCCTGCCATCAGCATGACGGTCCACTGACAAAATGTACCCAAAGCACACAGAACTGGGATCTGGGGGCTGAGAGGCAGGGGAGGCTCTTCCCAAATCTTCAGCAGAGACAAGCACTCCTCTTCCCACTGGGCTCCATCCCAGCCACTGGAAACCTCCCCCCACCTCCCCAACCCCCGTTTCGCAAGCTTTGGCCATTCTTTCCAGGAAAGACGCTCACAATTTGTTTGTAATTTAACTCTTTCCTGCAGCCCTTGTGGGGTTCCTTTAGAATCTTGCAACAAATGGAGCTACAGGGCGGTGCCACCTCCCTGGCCTGCTTCTTTGATAGTTGAGGGAATCTCCTGTTGGGACTTCACACACACCATCATTTGAGAAAAGGCTAGTTTTAACTTATAATGTTGGCCACTGGTACAAATCATCTGGGGGAGGGTTATACACTTGGGGAAGGGGACTCTGCTGAAATCCCCAGGCCTCACTCAATTCCCAACAAAGCCCCACATACGTGTTCAATTACCACCAAACATTTCCAGATCCCCTCCCCCAACATAAACTAACACACGCAAACACTTCGAAGTAGGGGTTCTAACTTACTTTCTCCCTTATCCCAAAGCCTGCTAACAAAGGGTGTTAAGGCACCATTTTCCCTACCACGGTTTGGCTAAAAAAGCAAGATCGGGGCAGGGAACCTCTTCTCCACCCCACCCCCAACCAACTAGGTCAGGGGGAGATGGAAGGAGGAGGTGTTTGGTTTGGTTAAACTAATAAAATGTTACAACCCTGTTAAATACAATTAAAGGGCTAGCTCTCTAGAAGATAATTAAATGCACTTTATTATTATGATTATTAGCTTTAATTTGCACTATTATCAAGAAACAGGAGATGCTGAAAAGTTGAGTTATGGGGCAAACTTGTTTCACCCCCATCCCTTGGTCTTCAAATCGATCCATGGTAATTAAAATTCTAAAATACTCCAAATAGTTGAGGGAAATGATGTGTATTGGAAACTGCAATTCTCATACCAGCGTGAAAGATACTTTAAGAGAAGTCTTGACTTTTATTTGTGGGAGTTAGGGGGAAGATAAGAAACATGTTATAAACATTCTATCAATCTTGTGATATAGAATGTCATGTGAACACTCAACCCCACCCCCACAGTCACAAAGAGCCTGCCCAGAGCCTTCTTCCAAAGCAAAGATACCCACGTTTCTTCCCCCCTTCCCCCTTCTGGACAAGTTTGAAAAGAAACCAGTCTTTTGTCAAAGGAAAACTAAAAATCCCACCAGCCCATCCATCCGTTCCCTCCCTCCAACCAAACCCATTTTATTGCCTTTTGAAAAACAAAAACAAAAAACCCCAACAACAACAAAACCCCCCACACAGCGCACAAACCACCCCACAAACTGCTAACCTGAAGGCCAGAGGAGATAGTCAGTTGGGGGTGGGGGGGAGAGCAGGTGAGGAGCAGACAGCAGGGGAAAGGAGAGAGATGCGAGGTGACCTCCAAATCCCAGCATCTGCGAGCTGATGACGCTCCCCCTAAAAATGGGGGCGGTCAGGATCGGTGCTCAACGTAGTGGGGTGGGGAGGTTGGGTTGTTTCAAAACACACAACGCAAAACGCTTTCTGCCCCCTCCAAGTGCTCGGGGCAGCGAGTTGAAAAGAAGAAGAGTCAGAGAAGAAAGATCTTCCTGCCAGCAGGGGGGTGGGCCCGGAGGGTAGGGGTGGAGGCCATTCCTCACACGATCTCCGCCCTCTCCCCACCCTTTGGTTCGGGTTTTTTTTTTTTTTTTTTCCACGTCTTCATCTCCTTTGGGAAGTTTCCAAAGATCGAGTGAAGGAGACAGGACAAGTGAGAAAGGGCGAAAGGGAAATCAAAACGAATCCAAGTCTTGATCAAAAGTATCCAACTGCTTCCACAGACCCAGCGTCAGTGAGAAGGCTCACAAATTTGGCTTTAGAACCTGAATGTAACTCCCAACTACTTATAGCCTCCTCCAGCAGGCCCAGCCCTGTCAAATCACCAAATACTCAAACCGAAGTAGGGGGTGGTGTTTGAAAGGGGACTGAAGAAAGGAGAACCCCCCCAACTTCCCCTCTTCCCCATTCCTCAGGCCTGGCGCCCCTCACTGCTCCCCCCCCTTTTTTTTCCTTTTTTCTTTTAAATAGAAAATATATAATTAAATTTACAAAAACTATTTACAGTTTTAATTACAAACCTGGTGGGGGTGTTGGGCAGAGTTCTCTTTAAAAAGCGACCTAAAAAAGAATGGTTTCGATTGTTCTTTATTTAAAAAAATAAAATAAGGAGTCTGTAGGAGCGCCCCCCCCCTCCCTGGGGGCGGAGCGCGAGGTGCCGGCCCGGCTGGGGACGCGGCGCCGGAGCTCCGGCTCACACGGTGGTCTCGCCGTGCCGGCTGTTGGTGAGACGCGTGTAGAACTTCCTCCACGAGTGCAGCGTCTTGCCGGACCAGATCCAGAATCCCGACGTGATGCCCACGATGAGCGTCATGAGGTATTTGATCATGTAGACGGTGAAGTCGGGTGACATGCGCGGCGTGTAGTGCGCCGGGCACGGGATGGCCAGGCTCTTGCAGTGCTGGCTCACCCACGAGCGCTCCCAGTGCTCTCGGAAGGCCTGCTCGTAGAAATAGCAGGCGATGACGATGGTGGCGGGCACCGTGTACAGCACCGAGAACACGCCGATGCGCACCATGAGCCGCTCCAGCTTCTCCGTCTTGGTGCCGTCATGCTTCATGATGGTACGGATGCGGAAGAGTGACACGAAACCGGCCAGGAGGAAGGACGTGCCTATGAACAGGTACACGAAGAGCGGCGCCAGCACGAAGCCCCGCAACGGGTCCAGGCTGTTGAGGCCCACGAAGCACACGCCGCTCAGCAGGTCGCCGTCAATCTGGCCCATGGCCAGGATTGTGATGGTCTTGACGGCGGGCACGGCCCACGCGGCCAGGTGGAAGTACTGCGAGTTGGCCTCGATGGCCTCGTGGCCCCACTTCATGCCCGCCGCCAGGAACCAGGTGAGCGACAGGATGACCCACCAGATGGAACTGGCCATGCTGAAGAAGTAGAGCATCATGAAGAGGATGGTGCAGCCCTCCTTCTTTGTGCCCTGCACCACCGTACGGTAGCCGTCCTCGGAGAAGCGCTCGTTACACACCACGCGCTCCTGGAGCACGAAGCCCGCGATGTAGGCCACCGACACCATAGTGTAGCAGCCTGACAGAAAGATGATGGGCCGCTCCGGGTAGCGGAAGCGCTGCATGTCCACCAGGTACGTGGTGACGGTGAAAAAGGTGGAGGCGCAGCACAACACGGACCAGGTGAGGATCCAGAGTCGCGCAAAGCGCGTCTCTTCCTGGGAGAAGAACATGGAGCCGTCGGGCCGCGCCGGCTCGCACGGAGCCGCGCAGTCGCGTTCGCCCAGAAACTTGTAGCTGAGATAGGACGGCACCTTGAGGACGCGCGGACAGTGGAACGGGTGCTCCAGCGTGGCATAGCGCGGGGGCGAGCCGCCGCCACCCGGGCCGCCCGGGGTGCCCCCCGCACCCGGCTGCAGGCCCGGCGGCGGCGCGGTGGTGAGCAACGCGGGCGCGCCGTCCTCCGAGTGGTTCTGGCCCACGCAGATCTGCTCCGCGCCGTGGCGGGGGAAGTGCTCGCAGCGAAGGCGCTCCGGCCACTGGAAGCCGAACTTGTTCATGAGCGCCTCGCAGCCCTGGCGCGCGCGCTCGCAGATCGAGCGGCACGGCGGGATGGCCTGCTCCAGCACAGTGCACACGGGTGCATACATGGAGCACAGGAAGAAGCGCAGTTCGGGCGAGCACTGCACCTTCACCAATGGGTAGAACTGGTGCACCTCCAGTCCTGCGTCCTCCTGGTTCGTATGGCCCAGAAGGTTGGGCATGATGGTCTGGTTGTAGGCGATGTCCGTGCACAACGGGATGGAGATGGGCTGGCAGAAGCCGTGGTCCGGGATGGAGATGCCCTTCTCCCCGTGGAACTGGGCTGGCCCCGCAGCGGGCAGCAGCAGCAGCGGAAGCAGCAGGCGGGGCAGGGCGCTGCGGGGCCGCATGCTGGCCGCCGCCCCCCACCCGGCTCCCGGACGCCCCCCCGCCCCCGCCCCCAGCCCCGAGACCGCGCGCCTTCCCCGCCGCCGCCTCGCCGCGGCCGCCGCCTCCCGCGTCTCTTTGCAAACTTTGCTCGCGGCTGCCGACTTGGGGAGGCCTGGCGGGGGAGGGGGGCGTCGCACCCGCCCGCTGCCTCGCCGAGGTCGGACTGAGCCGCCGGAGACACCGCGCGCTGCTGGCCCTCTCTCCTCCTCGTCCTCCTCCTCTCGCCTCTCCCCTCCCTTCTCCGCCCAGCGACTCCTTTGTGCCTTCCTCCAGCCCTCACCTCGGCCTCTCCGATCCCAATTAGTCGGTTTCAAGGGGGCCCCCGCCGGCGGCCCCGCCCTCTCCTCAGCCCCCCAAAAAAGGGATCCTTGAAACCGCCCCGTCGAGCTCTAAGCACCATCCCAAAATGTTCTCTCGGCCAATGAGATTTAAACCCGAGGATCAGCCCCGAGGGCTGGATTGGTCAACCACAACATAATGAGATCAGAAACCAGATGCCAACAAAACTTTCCCCCCCGCCTTTTGCTTTTTAAAGAGACAAGCTATTATTATATTAAGGGCCCTTTGCCCAGCACGGGATTTCTCTGGAGTCGCGGCGGCGAGATCCGGAGACACACGTTCCCCGAACTGCGGCGGACCCGAGTCACTCAACCCTGGATCACTCTTCTTCCGGGGGGCCACGGCGCTCTCCGGGGTAGGGCCTCTTTAAATCCTTGCCTCCGCCCCTGCTCCTCGAACCCCACCTATTCCAGTCCAATTTTTCAGATCAAGTAAAAAAAATATTAAGTTTGAGAAAAAATGGTTTAAGGGAGAGATTTTTTAAAAACTATCAGTTTACAAAGACTTTTCTCTCAGCCCCTTCCCATGGAATCTAGACAAAATTTCCTGTCGCCCTATATGTAGACCCCTAGGAGTTTGCCTCGCTCCTCCCCCTGCATACACCCTTAAATAACCCTCTGAAAAACGAGAGCCTGTCTCTTTAAGAGGCTCTTAAAGGGGCCTGGACTCCGGGGCGTAATTGCCCCGTAGCGAGCACAAAGGAGCCCATTATGGTTCTTTGTGTTCGGTGGCACCTCAAAGTGAGAAAACTCGGGAACTCAGAGGCCCTGAGCTGGAGGGTTGGGGCGGGGGTGGGAGGGGGTGAGGTGAAGGAGAATGGGCTAGAGCTGCGGCTTCTCCCTCCCCTTTCTTCCGAGGCAAATCTTAATTATGCAAAGTAAAGTTTAGTTGCCATAACGAGGAGGTCTTAATCGGAGGTTAATGGTGGGGAGTGGGGGATGACGAGCAGTTTTGAGCTGAAGAGATGACTCTTTTAGGACGTTTGGGGGAATTTTCCTCCTCTCTCTCCACCTCTGCCCCCGCCCCCTAAAAGCTTCCAGATTTGGTCTCCTAGGAGAGAGGGGAGTTTTACCCAAATCTTAAGTGATTCCACACCAGAAACGGGTGGTGTGTGTGGCGAGGGAGGAGGCGGGTGGGGGGGGGTTGTGTGGTTTAACACACACACACATCCACACTTACCTGGCTGGGGGTGGATGGCGGTGGCCAGCAGGATTCCGGCTAGCTTAGAAAGGTTTTCTTCTGTTTTCTCCCTTCTTGGATTTTAAGTTTGAGAGGGGGTTCTGGGGAGGAGAGGGAGAATTTGCATGTAAATCTCCTGAGCCTGGTATTGGATGGTGGATCAAATATTTTTATTGTCTCTCAGAGGGAAGGGGGGACACGTAAAAAGAAGAAAGAAAATTGAGTTTAGAAAACCCCTTTCCTTCTCTGTATGGGCCAAATCCTCCCAGCCTGGCGAGCTGTTTCCTGATCCAATCTAGAAAAGGACTGCTTTAAAAACAAAACCAAAAAACAAACAACAACAAAAAGAGAAACCTAAGAGAAAAAAAGAAGAAGAGAATAGGCAGAAGGAAAGAAAATTCTAAGTCATAGATAAAAAAATGGATCCAGGTTTGATAGGATTCAGTTTTTTTTTTTTTCTTGATTGAATGAAATACAGATTTTCAGGTTCTTTACAACATGAAAATTCTCCTTATCACTTCCTGGACAGGTCGACTTTTCACTACTTTAGGCAGAAAGATTCCCTTCAAAATCAGGGGGCTATGCCTTAGCTCTCCATTTTATTTCCATTCCACCCACAAGTCCACCTTCACCCCAGAGCAGTCTAGGCATGGGAAAATTGTGCTGTCCTGCTCTGTGGGACCCAAACTAAGCCCAGGGTGCTGCTCCTTCAAATCTCCCCTCCTACTCTACCTCCAGGACATCTCTAGAGCTGGTACCAAGCCTCTGAGCTGAGCGGTGAAAACAAAAAATGAGTAAGACTAGTTCCTCCACTCTATTCAGGAAGCTCTCACAGTCCGATAGGAAATTGAGAGTAAATCTCCAATAGAAATGCAGCATCTTCAATTTCCTTCCATGACAAACCTGTTTTCCTACCCTTGGGCCAGGCTTGAGTGACAAGTGACAGCTATCCCTTCCCCAGCCACCCCCAAGGCAAAGGGGGAGCTGAAGCTGGAAAAAAGAAATAAAAGACATCCTTTCCTTCACTCCGTCAACCTTTCATTCTGCAACACATTTTTATTGAGCCTTCTGATTTTAGACCACTGTGGTAGGTGCTGTGGGCAAGACAGAGAAAAGCAGCAGCATCCCTGCCCTTTACGAGTTGACGGTATCCCAGAAGAAAAGTGATTCTATGAAGATCTTACATTTATCTGGCATTTTTACCTGAAATGGATACCTAGTAATTGTAATTACTAAGGTTTATCGAGCACTTACTAAGCGCTGCGCATACATTACGTGTATGCCTACAAAGTAGGTATTGCATTGTGTTTATGGATGAAGAATCTGACCTTGATGAGATTTGGCAACTTTCTCAAGGTCACGTAGTAAATGGCAGAGCTGAGATTTAAACCCAGGCCTGCTTGAATCTTAAAGCTGTGTTCTGTCTCCTACACCACACAGCCCCTAATGTCTATAAAAATTGTGTGCTTTTACAGGCTTAACAAATATATATTGACCATCAGACCCAACCCCTATTCCTGTGGAGCTTATATTCTAGTGGGAGAGATTCACAGTCATCACATAGTCACTTTTTTTTTTTTGCGGTACGCGGGCCTCTCACTGCTGTGGCCTCTCCCTTTGCGGAGCACAGGCTCCGGACGCGCAGGCTCAGCGGCCATGGCTCACGGGCCCAGCCGCTCCGCGGCATGTGGGATCCTCCCGGACCGGGGCACGAACCCGTGTCCCCTGCGTCGGCAGGCGGACTCTCAACCACTGCGCCACCAGGGAAGCCCACATAGTCACTTTAATGGATGTGAAATTGCGACAGGATTGAGTGCTACGAAGGGAAAGTCCATGGTGCTATGAAAGCATAATTGGGGAGGGAATTTGACTGAGTTGGAGAGGGCAGAGGAGGCCTCTGAGGTTGGACTGAGGAGTAAAATAGGATGAGGTAAAGAGAGGCCAGCAGGTGTGACACCTGCAGGGCCTTGCAGACCATGTGTAAGGTGCTAGGTATACAAATGTGAACTCAGGGGCTTTCCCTGGTGGTGCAGTAGTTAAGAATCTGCCTGCCAATGCAGGGGACACAGGTTCGAGCCCTGGTCCACGAAGATCCCACATTCCACGGAACAACTAAGCCCATGTGCCACAACTACTGAAGCCCGCGCGCCGCTCCTCAACAAGAGAAGCCACCACAATGAGAAGCCTGCACACCGCAACGAAGAGTAGCCCCCACTTGCCGCAACTAGAGGAAGACCGTGCACCACAATGAAGACCCAGTGCAGCTAAAAATAAATAAATAAAATTTTAAAAATATATGAACTTATAATCTCAAGGCAGGGATAGGTTTTCCAGACAGAGGGAACCCCATGTGCAAGGGTGTAGTGCAGTGAAATGGATGGAACGGGCAGGGGGCACAAGTATACAAGCACTTTGGTCCTGTTAGAGCCCCGTGAACATCTAGGAGAGTGATGGCAGAGGAGGTTTTATTTTTATTATTATTATAATTAATTAATTGATTATTTATTTATTTGGCTGCGTCGGGTCTTAGTTGCGACATTCGGGATCTTTGTTGCAGCGTGAGGGCTCTTCGCTGCGGTGCACAGGCTTCTCTATAGCTGTGGCGCGCGGGCTGCAGAGCGTGTGGGCTCAGTGGTTGTGGTGCTTGGGATTAGTTGCCCCACAGTATGTGGGATCTTAGTTCCCCGACCAGGGATCGAACCCTCGTCCCCCGCATTGGAAGGCGGATTCTTAACCACTGAACCACCAGGGAAGTCCCGGCAGAGGAGGTTTTAAATAAGTAGGGACCTGAGATACTGTGCACATAATCTGGACTCCTGGAGGTGGAGAGCACTGGAGTGTTTAGGGAAGTGAAATGGTCACACTTAACTTTTATATTTTTTTATTTTTCATTTTTAAATTTTTGGTCGCGCCGTGAGCCATGTGGGATGTCATGTGGGATCTTAGCTCCCCGACCAGAGATCGAACCCGTGCCCCCTGCATTGGAAACGCAGAGTCTTAACCACTGGACCGCCAGGGAAGTCTCCACACTTAAGTTTTAGATGGTGCATTTGGACAGTTAGAAGGAGCAGGACTTGAGTCAGCTGAGTCAGAGATACCAGTTAGGAATAGATTGCAAGAGACAAGGCAAGAGATGCTGAGGGCGTGAACTGAGCCAAGGCAGCGTAGAGAAGAGAGAGTAAGGGAGGAGGCCAACCAAGTTTTCTGATCTAGATGCCCTGATGTCATTAACCAGGCTGGGAAGTGCAGGGACAGGCGGATAACGAGCACAGTCAAGCCAGGTCAAGCCTGTAGTATGTCCAAGAGAAGATGTCCGGAAAACAGTTAGCTATTCTAACACAGGACCAGGAAGGAGCTCTGGGTAGATTTAGATCTGGTACCTTTAGCCTGTGGCTGAAGCCATGAGATTGGCTAAGATCACCTAGGGAAAGGGGATTGGGTGAGAAGACTAAAGTTTCAGGGATGTCAATATTTCAGAACCATGAGCTGTGGAGGAGGGACACTGAGAAGGAGCCGTAGGGCCAGGAAAGATCCTAGCCAGCAGGAGAATGTCCCAGATTTGTTTTT